CAGGAAGAGGTTCTGGTAGTTGTCCAGTGCTGTGTCCCAGAACAGGTCCCCCTGGTCCAGCCCCAGCTGCTCCCAGTCCTCCAAGGTGAAGTCCATGGCTACGTCCTCGAGGGTCGCAAATTCCTGGAATGCAACACACTGTCAGTGATGACTGCGGGGCTGGGGTCAGGGAGGGGCCAACGGCTCACTCAGCACCCCCAGCCCCCCATGCGCCAGGCCTTTGGCAAAAGTCATCTTGTGAGAACCTTCAGATGTAAGACACTGGGCATCCCCATATTTTCTAGGCAAGGACAAGAGTCTTGAAGAGGAGACATGAGGTTCCCTCAAGGTCACAGAGGTGGGTCTACCTGATCCTGACATCCATCTACCTTGGCTTTTGTTTTTTTCAGTGTTTGTTCAAGATTTTAAGTTTTTTAAATTAAAAAAAATTTTTTTAAATTATAGTTGATTTACAATGTTATGTTAATTTTTGCTGTACAGCAAAGTGATTCAGTTATACATATACATTCTTTTTCACATTCTTTTCCCTTATAGTTTATCACAGGATACTTAATATAGTTCCCTGTAGGGCCTTGTTGTTTATCCATTCTATATATAATAGTTTGCATCTGCTAATCCCAAACTCCCAATCCTTCCTTCCCACACCCCCTCCCACTTGGCAACCACAAGTCTGTTCTGTGTCTGTGAGCCTGTTTCTGTTTCATTTATTCATTCCACGAACACCTCGAGGAACTTCCCTGGTGGCGCAGTGGATAAGACTCTGCACTCCCAGTGCAGGGGGCCCAGGTTCCATCCCTGGTCAGGGAACTAGATCCCACATGTGTGCCACAACTAAGGAGCTGTCAAGCAGCAGCTAAGGAGCCCATCTGCCACAACTCAGACCCAGCGCAAACAAATAAATATTAAAATACAAACAAACAAAAAATATCTTGAGGCTTCCTGTGTGGCAAACCGGTGATGGTCCCTGGGGGCCCAGACATGAGTCCCAATCAGTACTTGTACCTGTGGAGCGCCAAGTCTGGTGGGGCTGACAGATATGGTCAGGGACACCCCATCCGGGTGGATTTGTGCTACAGCTGAGGCAGCAGGGGTGATATGGGAGACCAGAGCGGGGAGAAGCTGACACTGCCCAGGGAAAGTGGGGGGAATGAGCTGGGTCTTGAAGGCTGGGGAAGACTCACCAGCCAGAGATGGTGGGCGGGGTATATTCTAGCAGAGGGAGGAGCCTGACCAAAGGCGGGAAGCTGGAAAGTACAGAGTAACATTTTACCACCAGGCCAAGGAGGGAGTACGGCGTGTGTGGGGACACGGAGAAGACAGTGTGGAGGGGGGAAAGGACCCAGGTCACGCAGGGATGGGCTCAGAAACCTGGATTTTAACCTATAGGCAATAAGGATTCCTGGAAGGATACTGAGCAGGAGAGCAACAGTGTGAGGGCTTTCCTTTAAGAAGATCGAGTTGGGGGACTTCCCTGGTGGTGCAGTGGTTAAGAATCCACCTGCCAATGCAGGGGACACGGGTTCAAGCCCTGGTCTGGGAAGATCCCACATGCCGCGGAGCCCGCGAGCCACAACTACGGAAGCCTGCGCACCTAGAGCCTGTGCTCTGCAACAAAGAGAAGCCACCGCAATGAGAAGCCCACGCACCACATCGAAGAGTAGCCCCCGCTCGCTGCAACTACAGAAAGCCTGTGCACAGCAACGAAGACCCAACGCAGCCAACAATAAATTAATTAATTAATTAAAAAAAAAAAAGATCAAGTTGGCGACCATGAGAAGACAGTGAGCCAGAACAAGGCAGGCCAGCTGTGCGGCCTTTGGGGATGATGGGTTAGGATAGGGAGGGACCCTCGACTCACCTCAGTCATAGCCAATGGAGGTCCAGCAGCCAAGTCCTCCTTTAAGCTCCCCGTCCTGGGAGAAAGTGTCCCTTCCTCCTAGGGCTGACTCTGGCTGTGCTGGAGGAGCCCCCAAAACTTCCAGAAGCAGGAGGAGGAGTCAGAACATAAGTCTCCCTGCAGGAATCACAACAATTCTATTTACTGAAACCACCCAGCCCCACATTTCTCCTGTGCTTCAGAGCCCGCAAGGCCACTTCACAACCCTTCTTGGCACTCACAGTCAGTAAATATAGCCAGTAAATACCCACTTGGGAGAGGTGGAGATTCAGATCTATCCCCTTGGCGGAACCTTCTGTCTTGCTCCCCACTGTGTGCACAGTGCCTGGCACACAGTAGGGATTTTTAAAATATTTGTTGACAGAACACATGTGTCTCTAACTGAACCCCCGAGACAATGCTTCTGATATTTCTGATTCTCATCTCTAAGACTTGAGTCCAGGTGAGCCTCCAAGACTGTTGATGTTTCTTCAACCTTTTTTTTTAAACCATGACCCACAGTAACACAGACAATATATACCATGACTACTCATTTGCATACATAACTGAACAGAAGCTTCATGAAACAATACTTCTTCTTACAAAGTAGGATGGACTGGGATGTTTACCATTCTGGTTGCTTTTATTTTACTTCATTAAAAAAAATTATGGTCACTGCCCCCCGAGTTATTTTCATGACCCAAAGTATGCAAAACACTGTACCACTGGTGCGGCCACTGTGTATTTCCTAAGTAGCATATACCTGTGGGGTGTCAAAAGCATTCCATATCATGAATCAGCAACGACACAGGTCCACAATTCTTAAGTCTCTGGGGCCAGAGAATTCAGAAATTTTCAGACTTTTAAAAGATAATCCAGGGGCTTCCCTGGTGGCACAGTAGTTGGGAGTCCACTTGCCGATGCAGGGGACACGGGTTCGTGCCCCGGTCTGGGAAGATCCCACATGCCGTGGAGCGGCTGGGCCCGTGAGCCATGGCCGCTGAGCCTGCGCGTCCGGAGCCTGTGCTCCGCAACAGGAGAGGCCATAACAGTGAGAGACCCGCGTACCGCAAAAAAAAAAAATAAAAATAAAGAGCTATGGGTATTCGTTTTAAAAAAAAAAAAGATAATCCAGGGACTTCCCTGGCGGTCCAATGGTTAAGACTTCGCCTTCCAATGCAGGGGGTGTGGGTTCGATCCCTGGTTGGGGAGCTAAGATCCCACATGCCTCATGGCCAAAAAACCAAAACATAAAACGGAAGGAATATGTTAACAAATTCAATAAAAACTTTAAAAAATGGTCCACATCCAAAAAAAAACTCTTAAAAAAAAAAAAAAGGTGATCCACCATATATATGGTGTATTTCATTAGAATCCCAATGCAGTGTGGTGGGGGGAGGGCGCTGGCGGGAGCATTTCATAATTGAATACTTTGATATTTCTAGAACAGAGGTATCAATATTCACTCTAGGTAGGATAAGTAAAAGTAATAAATCACAGCAGTTCTAATCAGGTGCGGGCACCAAATCCATGGAAAAAAATGTTTGGTTTTCAGAGCTTTATAGATTTTGTGACTGCAGATAAGGAAATGTGGTAGACCTATAATAAGTGCTAACATTTTACCCAACGAGAATTTCCCTCAAGACAGAGGTTAAGCCGTGACTTTTTAGTATAATTTGATCCACAGATTTTTAAAATTTTATTTTATTGAAGTAAAATTGATTTACAATGTTGTGTTAGTTTTTGGTATACAGCAAAGTGATTCAGTTATTTATATATATGTACATACAGTATATGTGTATATATATATATATATATATATATATATATATTCTTTTTCATATTCTTTTCTATTATAGTTTACTACAGGATATTGAATGTAGTTCCCTGTGCTACATAGTAGGACCTTGTTGTTTATCCAGTCTATAGATAATAGTTTGCATCTGCTAATCCCAAACTCCCAATCTGTCCCTCCCCCAGCCCCCCTCCCCCTTGGCAACCAGAAGTCTGTTCCCTATGTCCAATCCACAGATGTTTTTTGTTTTGGGTTTTTTTTTTTTTTTTTTTGGGGGCCCGGGGCCTCTCACTGTTGTGGCCTCTCCCGTTTTGGAGCACAGGCTCCGGACGCGCAGGCTCAGCAGCCATGGCTCACGGGCCCAGCCGCTCCGCGGCATGTGGGATCTTCCCGGACCGGGGCACGAACCCGTGTCCCCTGCATCGGCAGGCGGACTCTCAACCACTGCGCCACCAGGGAAGCCCCACAGATGTTTTATCTGGCCTGAGTTGGCATTGAGTGTTTTGAGAGAAAATTCTTTCAAATAATCCCAAACTTAAAAGCTGGGAGATTTCACCTAAAAACTTGATTTCCAGCTTCTGAAAATTCCTAGGATTTGGCCACATGGGGTCTGCATTTCCATGAAGATAGTTTGCTGGAGGCCATTTAGAGCTACCCCCGCACCCCGCTTTAGATGGGGTGAGCCCTCCCAGATGCCCCACAGCCCTCACCCAGACCTCTTCTCTCCTTTTCCTTATCTGCTTGACGCTCATAGACATCTGAGTTTGAGAACTCTACGTACAGTTTCTAGATCCCGTTCTGTCCACATCTCATACACTCTCAGCCCTGGCAGGGAAGAAACTGGAGCCCTGATGCGAAGCTCAAGGTCACCCAGCCTGTCATAATAACTTGGGACAAATACGACTGGAAAACCTTAGGCCCTGGAGTCAGGGAATCTTGCCTCTTCCTGGTGTGGGACCATGGCCAGATCATTCACCCTTTCTGTGCCTGTTTCTACATGTACAAAATGGGGCAGATACAACTCATCCACAATCTCTTGTCTACAATTCTGAAAACGTAAGGCTCTGAAAACGTAAGGCTCTGAAAACCACAACTTTATTCAAAAATTGGCAGCCAATCTGAACCCGAATTGCCACAGGCTATATATATTCTTTATTCCCCTTTAGTGTGGGTATTCATGCCTTTTCCGGCAGAAATACTCGATTTCCAAGAATTGCCCCAGATCTCGCTTGGGGGTGTTGCCTAATTATTAAACATGCACCCAGTAACTCTCTAAATTCTGAAGAATTCTGATTCCCAAGATGATCCTGGTGGCTGCGGAGCTGACAAGAGAAAATGCGAGGACAGAGCGGCGCCTGGCACACAGAAAGCGCCCAAATAAATGGTAAATATCTTGACTTTCTAAGGAACTCCCATTCATTCATCCCTCAAGATCCGACCCAGCTCTGC